CCCCAAAACCCCAAAACCCCAAAACCCCAAAACCCCTGTTATTCTTTAAATATTGTGTGCAGTTCAATGATTTTAGAGCGAGTTTACATGAAAGCATGGTCACCTAAAAAGAGAAAATCCTTATAGCATTTCTATACTCAGAAGCTGGGTTTTCTTCCTCAATTTCACTGTCGCTTTCAGATGCTTCAAAACTTTTGTAATGCCTTTGACCAGATCCAGCTATTCAGAGGTATTTTGAGACAGGATTTTCATCTTTAGTAGAGGATACCTGAAGATATTGGTTATCTATGATGTCTCAGCATGAAACTCAATCAAACATTATTGGGAAATGAGAGTCTACTTTCCTTCCATGAATATCATAAAGCGTTACAGAACCATTTTTAGAGCCAACGAGAAGCCTTTTAGTTGATTGATCGAATGAGAAGTACATTCTTTGGCAGGTTTGGGCATCCCTGTAGTAATTTTCAACAGGTTGGGAATCATTCCGGAGATCCCATAGATAAACCCAATTATCATTTCTTGCAGCAGTAAGAGCATAACAGTCATCAAACTCAACTTGAGTACATCCACTGCCTGTTGTACAAGGAATAGCTCCAAAGGATTTATGAGTCCTAAGATCATGAAGTTGATATCCAAGAGCTAAGAGGTCCTTATCTTCATGAACTCCAATAGCTAAGACCATCTTCTTTTTCAGTGGGATAATCTTCTCTTTGTCCATCCTTGTGATGTCAAACACTTGAGCTTGATTTTTAAACCCAAAATATGCTTTATTATTGGAATATTTGACACTGACTGGGGAAATATATTCTTCAAGATGATTTCTGCATCTGAAACTACTGAAAGTTCCGTCATTCCAATTTTTACTTTAATTTTAGTACAATTTTAGCTTACATATAAGGAGGCTTATCCTTAGCACTGATAAGGATACAATCTGGGCTAATAAGATCAAACTCGTAGGTTCCATAAGTCTCTTGGAGAACTGATTCAATCGTCAGATCTTCTTCTGTTAGGTTATATCTAAATTTAATCAATGAAATTTACCTAACATAGCGATTTGAATTTGATAAGGTAACTATTTGATAACTTCCATCAGATAATTTATAACTTTTTATTAGCTTTAAATAGTCCTCTGGGTCTTTAAATGTGTAAAAATCTTCCCTGATAATTTCAAATTTATCATTTGGTGATTCTGGAAGTTTTCCACTATCCCCTTCCGCCACTTCTCCATTTTCCTTCACCTCCATTCTATATTTCTAAAAATATTTCAATTCTTACTCAATTTCCCGGGGTTTTGGGGTTTTGGGGTTTTGGGGTTTTGGGG